GTGGTGATGGAGGTCAGTGGGTGGTGGTGGAGGTCAATGGGTGTTGGTGGAGGTCATTTGGTGGTGATGGAGGTCAGTGGGTGTGGTGGAGGTCAGTGGGCGGTGGTGGAGGTCAATGGGTGTTGGTGGAGGTCATTTGGTGGTGATGGAGGTGAGTGGGTGGTGGTGGAGGTCAGTGGGTGGTTATGGAGGTTAGTGGGTTGTGGTGGAGGTCAGTAGGTGTTAGCAAATGAGAAATAGAATTGTAGGAATAAGTATATGGAACTGAAAGAAGTATTGAACGGACATCTGACCGAAGTTGGCAAAAACTGGGTAATTCACATGTGGATAAAAGGTGGAAGACCAAAACGATACAAGTCGTCATGCACACCCAAACGCAGCATTGTGTCCAGAGATGTGGTAAAGTATTGTGGTATTATCCGGTGTTTGGCCTGTCTTACCTGTGGCTGGCAGTAGACTTTTCTTGGACAATGAGTTTGAGTTTTATAAAAAAAGAAAAATCCATTTAATTATTCTGTATTTTTATTAGAAAAGGTAAGCAAAAAAATCTGTTCTCAGTGTCAAAGGTCAAGTTCAGAGGTGAAGGTAGAACATGGGTATACATATATATTATACTGCATTATTCTTATTACGTTTTTATTCAATAAGTTTATTTATTCATTTTTATTTATTTCACTCAAAAATATTTTTCTAACGAACTCTTCAATTACAGATTAGATTTTAATATTTTATTTTTCTGGCTCTCATAGATGTGTCGTGTCCTGCTTAACTGCCTCATATTATAAAAAAAATGGAGCATACATTTCCAAAAGTAATCATTTTTATTTTTATTTTCAACTTCCTGCATTTTTTTTCTAACAGGTATTGGATAAATTTGGAAACTAGATTTAACATTCATGGTCTTGACAAATGCAAATCATATATTTGCTAACATTTCATTGATAATCTCCATCAGTAATAAACTCAATGGTGGAAGATCTGGACAATTTGGCCATGGTTGTTAGGCACAACCCAGACTCGCTTGTCGGGGATGCGACGGTCGAAGGGGAAGCCCATTGGACGTTTGTCAGGGTACTTCCCTCCGTGGACGCCGCAGTAGCCGTGGGTGCTGCCATGATCGTTGACAGTCAAGTCATCGTGAGCAGCGTCTTCTCCACTGGTAATTACAACGTTGAACCAGAAGTCCATGCCTTCCTCAGTGCCTTTAGGCAGCAGCAGCCTTTGGGGGTGGCCACAGCTACGATCTGCATGGTGTTCCAGTTCAGTGCCGGCGGCCACAGCCGCATCAGCGTCGTGGATCAGTTGTAAGAAGGACACGCGATCAGGGATGGCCACTGACGATTCGGAAGACTTTCGCTTGATGACATTATTTCCCTCATGAACTGTAAAATATTTATCATATTAAAGATACTGGTACCACTAATAGTAATGATATAGTTCTCTCTATAACAAAAATGATAAAGATTGTTACTCATTCAAAGTTAGGATAAGATGTTTGCTAAAGAATCATTATTACAAGAGAGAAACTTTATTGAAGTTTTAAACTAATTAGAAAAACTGGATTAATAATTGTTAACTTACCTTCAGTCCAGAAGGTGTCGAGCAAGATGACCCCCCAGCGTCCCTCGTCAAGGTTAAGAGCAATGTGGTTTTCATCATACTTTGGTGCTAGATAGATACGAACGGTGACTGTGTCGTCGTGTTCGGCTTTGGCGTGAATGTTGAAGGAGAAAGGCTTGTGGTTGAGGCGGGATACATGGGTCTTGACAGAAACTTCTTCGACATTCTCCGTACTGTCAAGAGCGTTGCTCAAGTCAAACTCAAATTCCTCAAAGAAAGTGGAGAGCTCAGTGACGTCAACATCTGTTATCTCTACATTACTGTAGAGTAATTCTTCCCTAGTATAAGGAGGTAACTTATCCTTGTGTTCCTTGAGGATGTTGTCCATGTACTTGTGGAGTCGGAAAAATGCGGGATCACGTGTGGCAGTCTCGAAGTGCTCCATCACTCCTGGAGGCATGTTGAACTTGTGGTGAGGATCAGACTGCGCTCCCAAGATGCGGTGAGCCTGGTTATGTAGAGCGCCGTAATATGCAACATTGGTGCTGTAAGTGGAAGACTCAATGATATCACCCAGGACGTCAATGCCATGGTCGTTGTCGATGTCAGTGTGGCTGCCATCGGCGTTGATGATGTAGCCATGAGCAATGGCATCACGGATTCGGCTTTCTATCTCCTTCATATCACGAATATGGGCCACACCATCTACATCCTCAAACGCCTTGTTATCGGGACGGAATGGGAACTCTCCTCCATATTTGTAAGAAGTATGAGGAGCAAACCCGTCTCTGATGGGGTGGTCCCAGTACAATGGGTCTACAGGAGGCAGGTAGTTGGAAAGGCGCTCAGCATCGTATCTCGCCGTCAGCTGGTGGTGAGCCCAGAAGAAGAGTTCTCCCTTGCGGTCAATCTTGTCTCCGTGCCACCAGAAGGGGAAGTCCATATGCCAGTGAACGTGGTGAGAGTTGAGGCCGATGTCCTCACCGAAGTAAGCCACACGCTGCTCAGCGTTCTTCTTGGTGCCAGTGAATTCCATCTTAAAGTTGCCTGGTGTGTTTGTCATCTTAGCGGCATAAGCCTTATCGATAACTTCAGAATTTGTAAACAAATGAGGGGTGACCTCATATAGAGGTGGCAACACCACATCATGTGTTAGGTCAGAATGGGTCACAGCTACATAGAGAGCATAAACAAACTCTCCTTCATTCATATGCTCACGGAAGTAAGCAGCATTGCTCTCGAAGGCTTCAAAGTCTGTACAGTGCAGCAATACATCGACGAGCATGAGAGCTTCCTCACGCTGACGCTCGTTAAAGAGGGAGAACCAGTGATGCTGCTCGAGCAAGCGGTGATGCTCCAGCTCATCCATCAGGTGGTTTACGGCCGTGCCACCATCGCTGCAGTGATCAGCATGCTCTCTGGGGTTCCAGGTTTCAGCTGCTTCTTTAAGATGGGTGAAGGTTGATGGGATGTGGCTGGTAACCTTGTAGAGGAGACGGTTAATGCTCTGCTGCTTGTGGGCTACGTCTGTGTCAGCAGACACAGTAGCCACCAGGAGCACTGCTACTACCACCGCCCACTGCATGTTGACTGCTGGTGCTGCTGTGGTGAACGGTCTCCTTTACCCCATCTTATATACACCTTGACTGGGTTCATTTGTATTAAGATAAGATAATGCCTATTTACAGTATGTACCTTTGGACTCTTAGGTAACGACTGTGGAGTGTATTGTATCTGTCTGCCTCATTATAAAAGTTCGTAATGAAGAATCAACTTTTTTCACGGCTCAGGAAATGTGTTTGGGTCGTTTTAAAGAAATATGGATTACTATAGATAATTCTTTAAGTGTATTTACTGCTGTTTATGTAACATGGGTCTCTTCTTTTTCACCGCTCCACCAATATTGTTGCATTTTACACTATAACCTAATTTAGTTTTATATTTCATCAGTCGGTTTCGTCTTCTTATATGAACCGCTAATGTAAAAGATTTTGAATATATTTATACCGAGTAAGTCTAAATATATCTCTCACACGAAACGTAGTGAAAAATTACAATCTTTCACCATAAACTAGATCTTGCTTACATCTTCAGACCTTAGCTTTCACTGGAGTAAAATTCACACCATAAAACTTAATTGACCACTTGCACGTACAGTTCATGAAGGACAGCTGTTGCCTCACTGGTTCATTCATTTTGTTCAATGTCATAGACCATACAGTAGAGTGCTCATGACGTCATCATGTAAACATCACCTTTAAATACATATTAATCATTGAGTTAACTTCACGTTGATTGAAGAATTCATCGAGAATTCTTATGAAAAATGGATTGTATTATCTAGGTCATTTATTGACCATTTTAATGAAGAAGTTTATACCCTTGATTTAATAATGAACTAAGGAAGGAAGTGATGGAATCGAACTATTGGGAGGACTTTTCAAAACTGAATTAAGAATGTCCTTGAATAATTATGAACTACTATGGCACATCACAAACACACACACGGACATCGTATTAAAACAGTTTAATGAATAAATTAATCCTCAGCTTATACTTTGCAGACTTATGATCGATGTTAAGTTTACTTTATGACTGGTGTTAAGTTTACTTTATTACTGGTGTTAAGTTTACTTTATGAATGGTGTTAAGTTTACTTTATGACTGGTGTTAAGTTTACTTTATGATCGGTGTTAAGTTTACGTTATGACTGGTGTTAAGTTTACTTTATGACTGGTGTGAAGTTTACTTTATGACTGGTGTTAAGTTTACTTTATGACTGGTGTTAAGTTTACTTTATGACTGGTGTTAAGTTTACTTTATGACTGGTGTTAAGTTTACTTTATGACTGGTGTTAAGTTTACTTTATGATTGGTGTTAAGTTTACTTTATGACTGGTGTTAAGTTTACTTTATGATTGGTGTTAAGTTTACTTTATGACTGGTGTTAAGTTTACTTTATGACTGGTGTTAAGTTTACTTTATGACTGGTGTTAAGTTTACTTTATGATTGGTGTTAAGTTTACTTTATGATTGGTGTTAAGTTTACTTTATGACTGGTGTGAAGTTTACTTTATGACTGGTGTTAAGTTTACTTTATGACTGGTGTTAAGTTTACTTTATGACTGGTGTTAAGTTTACTTTATGACTGGTGTTAAGTTTACTTTATGATTGGTGTTAAGTTTACTTTATGATTGGTGTTAAGTTTACTTTATGACTGGTGTTAAGTTTACTTTATGATTGGTGTTAAGTTTTTTTTATGACTGGTGTTAAGTTTACTTTATGACTGGTGTTAGGTATACTCTATGACTGGTGTTAAGTATACTTTATGATCGGTGTTAAGTTTACTTTATGACCAGTGTTAAGTATACTTTATGACTGGTGTTAAGTATACTTTATGACTGGTGTTTAGTTTACTTTATGATCGGTGTTAAGTTTACTTTATGACTGGTGTTAGGTATACTTTATGACTGGTGTTCAGTTTACTTTATGATCGGTGTTCAGTTTACTTTATGACTGGTGTTAAGTCTACTGAATGACTGGTGTTAGGTATACTTTGTGACTGGTGTTAAGTATACTTTATGACCGGTGTTAAGTATACTTTATGACTGGTGTTAAGTATACTTTATGACTGGTGTTAAGTATACTTTATGACTGGTGTTAAGTTTACTTTATGACTGGTGTTAAGTATACTTTATGACTGGTGTTAAGTACACTTTATGACTGGTGTTAAGTATACTTTATGACTGGTGTTAAGTTTACTTTATGACTGGTGTTAAGTATACTTTATGACTGGTGTTAAGTACACTTTATGACTGGTGTTAAGTTTACTTTTTGACTGGTGTTAAGTTTACTTTATGACTGGTGTTAAGTATACTTTATGTCTGGTGTTAAGTATACTTTATGACTGGTGTTAAGTATACTTTATGACTGGTGTTAAGTTTACTTTATGACTGGTGTTAAGTTTACTTTATGAGCGGTGTTAAGTAAACTTTATGACTGGTGTTTAGTACACTTTATGACTGGTGTTAAGTTTGCTTCATGACTGGTGTTAAGTTTACTTTATGACTGGTGTTAAGTTTACTTTATGAGCGGTGTTAAGTATACTTTATGACTGGTGTTAAGTTCACTTTATGACTGGTGTTAAGTTTACTTTATGAGCGGTGTTAAGTATACTTTATGACCGGTGTTAAGTATACTTTATGACTGGTGTTAAGTTTACTTTATGACCGGTGTTAAGTATACTTTATGACTGGTGTTAAGTTCACTTTATGACTGGTGTTTAGTTTACTTTAAGTTACTTGCAACAGCTTATTTTATCACGTATATTAATCCTTGCCGGTAAATTCCATCTTAAAGTTGCCTGGTGTGTTTGTCATCTTAGCGGCATAAGCCTTGTCGATAACTTCCGAATTTGTAAACAAATGAGGGGTGACCTCATATAGAGGTGGCAACACCACATCATGTGTTAGGTCAGAATGGGTCACAGCTACATAGAGAGCATAAACAAACTCTCCTTCATTCATATGCTCACGGAAGTAAGCAGCATTGCTCTCGAAGGCTTCAAAGTCTGTACAGTGCAGCAATACATCGACGAGCATGAGGGCTTCCTCACGCTGACGCTCGTTAAAGAGGGAGAACCAGTGATGCTGCTCGAGCAAACGGTGATGCTCCAGCTCATCCATCAGGTGGTTTACGGCCGTGCCACCATCGCTGCAGTGATCAGCATGCTCTCTGGGGTTCCTGGTTTCAGCTGCTTCCTTAAGATGGGTGAAGGTTGATGGGATGTGGCTGGTAACCTTGTAGAGGAGACGGTTAACGCTCTGTTGCTTGTGGGCTACGTCTGTGTCAGCAGACACAGTGGCCACCAGGAGCGCTGCTACAACCACCGGCCACTGCATGTTGACTGCTGGTGCTGCTGTGGTGAACGGTCTCCACCAATTTATAATAATACGAGGAAAGAGTGTGTATGCTGTGGGGGTAACTACAGAATGTCAGTTAAAGGAAAATGGGGTAGACATGATCGAGGAACTTTTGGGAGACGTAATAGTTGGGAACGGTTTTTCTAATGCACAATGAAAATCATAATAACATATATACAGTTAGCTTGAAACTAGAGAATATTAACCGTTGATAAAGTCTTTGTTAGTGGCCAGAGGGTGACAGGTAAAAGTTAATTAAAGGTTAAATATGGCAAGTGATATATATATATATATATATATATATATATATATATATATATATATATATATATATATATATATATATATATATATATATATATATATATATATATATATTATATATATATATATATATATATATATATATATATATATATATATATATATATATATATATATATATATTTGGCCGACGGACGGTTCACCGACGGACATTTGACCGAACGGACATAGAGCCGACGGACATTTGGCCGAACGGACCTCTCTGTCCTTGTAAATTACTAGTTAAATTGACATTGGGGAAAGTAATGCTGATTATTTCCGACGACTACCAGATATTAAACACAGAGACTGAAGCAATTTTTATAAAGCAATTACATTACAATTAATAGCTTTTATCCTTTCGAAAATGTGCAAAAAATACATTACAAACGAAGAAAGAAAAAAATAACTAAAAAGGCCATATGTCCATTCGGTTAAATGTCCGTTCCGCCATTTGTCCGTTCGGCCAAATGTTCTTCGGCCATCTGTCCGGCCACGATATATATATATATATATATATATATATATATATATATATATATATATATATATATATATATATATATATATATATATATATATATATATATATATATATATATATATATATATATATATACATATATTTATATATATATATATATATATATATATAAATATATATATATTATATATATATATATATATATATATATATATATATACACAATATATATATATATATATATATATATATATATATATATATATACTGCACTGTATAATTATACTCTTGTCACGAGTCTAATTTATATTTTAATTTATGTATACTTCATATATTATTGCTTTTATAATAAGATTTTATAAATGTAACTGATTCCCATATTTGTTCCTGTCTTCATATATCATGTTAAACTGTCCTCATATATCATGTTAAACTGTCCTCATATATCATGTTAAACTGTCCTCGTATATCATGGTAAACTGTCCTCATATATCATGTTAAACTGTCTTCATATATATTAAACTATCCTCATATATCATGTTAACTTTCCTCGTATATCATGTTAAACTGCCCTCGTATATCATATTAAACTGTCCTCATATATCATGGTAAACTGTCCTCATATATCATGTTAAACTGTCTTCATATATATTAAACTATCCTCATATATCATGTTAACTTTCCTCGTATATCATGTTAAACTGTCTTCGTATATCACGTTAAACTGCCCTCGCATATCATGTTAAACTGTCCTCACATAGCATGTTAAACTGTCAACATATATCATGTTAAACTGTCCTTATATATCATGTTAAACTGTACTCACAGACCATGTTAAACTGTCCTCATTTATCTTGTTAAACTGTCTTCGTATATCATGTCAAGCTGTCCTCATATATCATGTAAAAATGTCCTCATATATCAAGTTAAACTGCCCTCGTTTATCATGTTAAACTGTCCTCATATTTCATGGTAAACTCTCCTCATGTTTCATGGTAAACTCTCCTCATATATCATGGTAAACTGTCCTCATGTTTCATTGTAAACTGTCCTCATGTTTCATGGTAAACTCTCCTCATGTTTCATGGTAAACTCTCCTCATATTTCATGGTAAACTATCTGTCATTATCTCCTGTTAAACTGCCTCACATTAGCAAGTTTTCATTTCGACTTATGGAAATTATTCATAATATTGTTTTTCGCTGGTATAATTGAGCTGGTATAATTGAGCTGGTATAATTGAGCTGGTATAATTGAGCTGGTATAACTGAACTGGTATAACTGAACTGGTATAACTGAACTGGTATAACTGAACTGGTATAACTGAACTGGTATAACTGAACTGGTATAACTGAACTGGTATAACTGAACTGGTATAACTGAACTGGTATAACTGAACTGGTATAACTGAACTGGTATAACTGAACTGGTATAACTGAACACTAAAACTTAATGATTTATATGTTTATTGTTTGTCGGTTCATAGTAAAAGTTTGTTATCTCGTCTACAGTTGAGAGCTGCTTGTGGGTGCTTGTTACCAGGACACCAAATTAATCATTATGATTAGGGTGTGCGACAAAGGTATGAGAGATAAGATTACTTATAAAAATATATTTAATCATATGCCACAGTATATACAACTTAAGGAAGATAAACTAACATTTGATACTCCCCCTAGTACCTTCACCTCAGCCAGAGAACTAAACTCTGATTGGTAAACATCTCCAGCTTCTATCACGCTGTAATGCTGTAACTGAATCTCTTGCGCTCTCATATACGCAGCTACAGACTCGCTGAAGGGGGTCTTCTTCCGGTGGTTTGTTTCTCTCAACCATTTCATGATGTACCATTTCATAATTATATAGAACTAGCAGAAACTCCGCCCTCCGGGCGGCTCATTCGCTAGGCCACGGTAGGACGCCACCCTCCGGGAGGCTCCACATTGTCTCACTGTTCAGTCCCCAAAACTTCTTCTTCCATCAATTGGTCATTAACGGTATATGTAAGTTCCACCATGTTTTTCACTACAACGGTACAGCAAAGTATATTTTTTTAGCATTAAACTGTTATTATTTTGTTGTCTAATCATCACAACATATAACATCACTCATCATCACTACATATAACATCATCCATCATCACTACATATAACATCATCCATCATCACTACATATAACACCATCCATCATCACTAAATATAACACCACCCATCATCACTACATATAACAACATCCATCATCCCTACATATAACACCATCCATCATGACTACATATAACACCATCCATCATCACTACATATAACACCATCCATCATCACTACAGATCGGTAAAGTAGTTTCTGATCACTACATATAACACCACCCATCATCACTACATATAACATCATCCATCATCACTACATATAACACCATCCATCATCACAACATATAACACCATCCATCATCACTACATATAACACCATCCATCATCACTACATATAGCACCACCCATCATCACTACATATAACAACATCCATCATCACTACATATAACGTCATCCATCATCACTACATATAACACCATCCATCATCACTACATATAACACCACCCATCATCACTACATATAACACCATCCATCATCACTACATATAACACCACCCATCATCACTACATATAACACCCATCATCACTACATATAACACCACCCATCATCACTACATATAACACCATCCATCATCACTACATATAACACCACATCATCACTACATATAACCATCCATCATCACCATATAACACCACCCATCATCACTACATATAACACCATCCATCATCACTACATATAACACCACCCATCATCACTACATATAACACCATCCATCATCACTACATATAACACCACCCATCATCACTACATATAACACCACCCATCATCACTACATACACCATCCATCATCACTACATATAACACCACCCATCATCACTACATATAACACCACCCATCATCACTACATATAACACCATCCATCATCACTACATATAACACCACCCATCATCACTACATATAACACCACCCATCATCACTACAGATCGGTAAAGTAGTTCCCGAGGTTCTCGTGCGGACACACAGACAGACTTCTTTGCTTTATATATATAAATAAACATACTGGTACATTTCTTTTGAGGAAGTTGGGTGATGCCTAAATATAATATAACGTCTGGATGGGCGCAATGTTTACATACAAACACATTTTGTGATTTGTTCACACGAGTGTATCACCACCGACCCATGTAAAGATGAGGATAAACACACCACATTAGACAGGTCATCCTGCGTATACATGTATAAGAAGTATTTTGGAAACTCTACACGGTTGCCATGATCCAACAAATTATCGTATTGTGATGGGCGAGAATGATCTCAGTAACAAAAACACCTGCATAAGATTTTTATTATCATTCAGAATCCTCATTAGTAAAAACAGGTGCTCATTCATCATGAACGATGAGTAATCTCGACGACTTGCATACTGAGATTTGGCAAAAACAAGACTCGGAGGTCAGGTATGCGACGATCGAAGGGGAAGCCCATTGGACGTTTATCAGGGTACTTTCCTCCATGGACGCCGCAGTAACCGTGAGTGCTGCCATGATCGTTGACAGTCAGGTCATCGTGAGCAGCGTCTTCTCCACTGGTAATTATAACGTAAAACCAGAAGTGCATTCCTTCCTCAGTGCCTTTAGGCAGCAGCAGCCTGTGGGGGTGGCCACAGCTACGATCTGCATGGTGTTCCAGTTCAGTGCCGGCGGCCACAGCCGCATCAGCGTCGTGGATCAATTGTGAGAAGGACACGCGATCAGGGATGGTCACTGACGACTCAGAAGACTTTCTCTTGATGATATTATTTCCTTCATGAACTGAAAAATAAATGTCATATCATTAATACTAAAGTGGTGATATTAGCAGTAATGGATATGGTTAATAAGTAAGTGTTACGAGAAATATTTGCATGAGAAATTTGAACTTGAGAGTAGTTTAACAGAATTTAACACCAAATATGAAATATTATGAAAATAAATGTAGGATCACCTTCAGTCCAAAAGGTGTCTAATAAGATGGCCCCCCAGCGGAAGTCATCAACGTCAAGAGGAAAATGGTGTTCATCATATTGTGGAGCAATGTAGACTCTAACTGTGACTTTGTCGTCGTGTTCGGCTTTGGCGTGAATGTTGA